GCCCCACCCCCCCCCCCGCCCCAATTGCCCCCCCGCCCCACCCCCCCCCCCCAGCCCCCTGACCTCTCCCCAAGGTGACGGAAGTCCTTGTGCAGTATTGGAATAAAAGAGAAAACATGACTTACATCAGTTCAGCTAAGGACAGAGTAATCTCTCTCACTCCCAAGTTGGCAAAAAGAAGACACTGTTGGCAGGGCACATTTGTGCCCCGGTTAGGGACAAGTGGAGATAGGCCCATCGTTGTGTTACAGTCACTCTGTTATACTAAAAATCCACTTACTTCTCTGTAAGATCAACTGTCAGCATTTATTTCACTCTATGCTTTACATGGAAAAACCAAGCAGAAAATGCTTTTTTTCCCCCCACAAGGTGCCCATTCTACTCTCTTTTGAATTCCAGAAGGAATATGGACTTTATTCTACTGCCAGCCTTTTTTTTTTTTTTTAGGTATTTAAGAGCTGTAGATTACTTTCTGTATATTTTAATTTGGATGGGGGACAGCAGGCTTCAGCTGAACCCCAGCAAGACTGAGTGGCTTTGGGCTTGGGGGCCTACTGGTTCTAGGAATATGCCATCTTTGGTGCTGGATGGGGTGGTATTGCACAGTCTGGAGGTCCTCTTAGACTCATGACTCCTGCTCGAAGAGCAGATAGGAGGGCCTTTGCACAGCTTGTGTTGTACATCAGTTGCACCCATTCCTGGATCAGGAAGCTCTGCTCACAGTCACTCATGTCCTAGTCACCTCCAGATTGGATTTCTGTAATGTGCTGTACATGGGGCTGCCCCTGAAGAGTATCCAGAAGCTTCAGCTGGCACAGAATGCAGCAGTGTGGGCAGTTATGTGTGCTTCTAGGATAGCACATTACACCTCTGTTCCACAAGCTGCACTGGTTGCCAGTTTGCTTCTGGGTCCAATTCAAGGTGCTTTAAAGCCCTTCATGGCATGGGGCTGGTTATCTGAGGGGCCATCTCTCCCTGATCACATCAGCCCGCCCCATTAGACCTGGCAGGGAAGGTACGCTATGAGTACCATCGGCCAGGGACTTGTGTCCCTTCTCTGCCGTGGCTCCCTCCTTGTGGAACATTCTCCCCCATGAAGTGAGGGTTGCCCCTTCCCTGCTGTCGTTTCGGAAGTCCCTCAAGACCTGGTTGTGTCATCAGCCCTGGGGGTCTTGTTTAGATGGCTCCATTACTGAGGTAGATATACTCACTCTCTCCATGCCTGGGGTTTGTATATTTTAATTTTAATAATATTTAACTTTTAACACTGACTTTTTATATATTTATATGTTGTTTTTATACATGCGCTGTTTTTACTGGATTATTGTACGCTGCCCAGAGTCACCTTGGGTGAGATGGGCGGCCATATAAATTTGATAAATAAATAAATAAATAAATCCCTGTATTTCAGACCCTGGGAGTATGATTAAAGGAATCATCGCAGGATTTAAGCTGTTCCAAGTAAAGCTGCCTTTTGCAATTATCATCATCATCATCATCATCATCATCATCATCATCATCTATTCAGAGGGACCCAGCTAGAATACCTACATTGTCGTGGCTCAGCATTACTCCCTTTGGCTTCCCTGTTGTTCCAGAAGTGTAGATCAGAACACAACATTGGTTTGCCTCTTGGGAGTTAATGACAGCATCAAGTTCTCCATCCTGAATTTCATTTCCCAACTCCATGAATTCATCCATCTGTGGAACACAGAAGGTCCCAATGATGCCCAGGTCTTCATCACAATGTACCTGTTAATCTTTCTGTATTTATTTTCACAAAGTGTGCTCATTTTTCTATAGTGCATTAAAGGCGTTTGCAGTACACTATTGATAGAGCCATACCATGTATATGCTCATCAGAAGTAAGTTCACTTGATTTGCATTGGACACACCAGTTGGGTTCAGGAGGTCAAAGCCCTGACTGTTTTTTTACGTGTGACGCATGTAATTCTCCAAATAAACTGCTAAACTAATAACGCTTGGAGGAAAAGTAGGACTGAATTCTTGTGGGGAAGAACTGTAAGTTCAGTGGCCCCCCACCCCCCTTCCTAATTTTGTGTCCTGGTCTAATTAGTGGACTTTTTAGTTCTAGTATAAAAGAAAGTGGTTTTCTGAGTGCATAAACTTCCCTCTCTTTGCATTCAAGGATATTAAAGAAACTAGAAATCAAGAAAATTAGAGATACAGCAGGGAAGAGCTACAAGGATTCTGCAAGGATCTTCAAAGAACTCATTCTTCCCTTGAACAAGCAAAGTGAATCTAAATCTAAGGATGCTCTTCTAGTGTAATCCCTCGCACAAGTGCACTAAGAGAGCAACTATAGAGCATATAATTTCACACGCTCTTGTGAGAAGTCTTGTGGAACCATTTGAAGAAGGCCCCTATGGATTCCCCCCCCCCTTTCCCTTAGGGTTCTTTGGATCCAACCCCAGTGTTTTAGAATGGAAACATAAAACAACTGCAGAGCTGGAAACCTGACACTCATGCACGAGAAAGAAACAGCACCCAGGCAACTGGAAACACGCACATTAACACTTCAAAGAAGGACAATGTTAGTTTCGTCAGGATGACGAAGTGCAAAGCGTCAGCAGGTCTGGCAAGAAATCCGTTCTCCGTTACTGGGACACCGTCCCTCTGGTGAATGCAAAGGGCAGGGAAGGACACCGTTTCATGTTGGGAACAGAGTCTATAAACTGGGCCTGACATTTAAGCATATTCCTACAGATAAGAGCAACTTCTGATGCCCTTTACCAAGCTGAAGTCTGTGGGGTTAGTTAGTTGGTTAGTTAGTTAGTTTTACTACTGTTGCTAAACTGGCCTCAGGTCTTAGCGGATTAATCTGCAGGTCGCACCTTTTTAAGTCTGCAGTCTCGTTCACATGTGTGGGAAGTGTGGTTTTAAATGTTGAGGATATATAATGTTTTTTCTGCTCTTTAGAGTTCCAGGTGTCTTTAATTACATCAACCAGGTTCATGTCATGCTTAGTAAGATGTATGAACCTAACAATCCTGGTTTCTA